TGGAGGGTGCCATGTTGAGCTTGGGATAGGCACAAGCAGGTGGGAGGAGAAGAATCTCCCAGAGGCTGTTCCATCGGCTAGACGTTCCTGAGCTGAGGTGGGGAAATAGGTCCCCTGCAGGAGGCTTATATATTGTGGGTGAGGACAGAATCAGAAGAGAGCTGCCTGAAAAGGAAGTCTGTGGACATGCAGCTGGAGTTCAGCATATTCCCCAAAGAGGAAGGGAACAATGAAAAAGAAAGTCAGGCGTCTCCCCTGCCAGGCAGTTGGCATCAGCTGGCTGACCACTAACCCTCGGTGGAAAGGTTCTATTCTGCATACAGCTGAAATCCTCCAGCTACCCGCCTGCAGCAAACAGGGACGGGGGGCTCCAGTAATCAGTTTACATGGTGCCCTGAAGACTGGGAGCCTTGTCTGGATGTTTGCAGTGTTGAGACTCCACAGACTCCCGACACATCGTTCGGCGCCCAGCAGCAGACAGACTCGTTATTGTTGCTGTCATTGTGCAGTGACTGCTGGCATGGACGGCAGGCTGGCAGCCGTGCAGCAGCTGGCCTGACAGGGACCTGAACATCTGTCTGCAGCGCTGATCCCCAGCCAATTCCAAGACCTCGAGAATGGATGAGCAGCTGGCTGAGGAGAAAGTACATTTCCTCCCTTTTGGCGCCTTTAGAAAGGGGCTCTCCTTTTATTCAGGGTCTTGCCTATGGTGCTTTTCTGCAGCCTCTTGACAAGAGGTTTCTGTGCAATCAACTCAGAGACCCAAAAAATACATCAAAACCCCAAGCTGCAGAAATAATGTTTAGTCATGAGTTTGGGATTCGGTTACTGTATTTGTTTGGTTTGATGTCTATTAAAATAAGGCTTCTCTGAGGGTTTTTTTGATGGCTCCCTCCTCAGACTCTCTCTGTGCCATGCAAAACAAACCCATGTCTAAAGGCTTCCTGTGCATCCCCCTACACCAGGAATATGATTAAAGGGTTGAGCAGAGCAATGCATATCATAAATATGGGGAAATGCAAACAGTCATGCTTGCCTTGGAAAATATTCTCCCTGCCTTCGTCTCTGTTGGTATCAGTAGCATTGTTTATACAGCATCAGAGCTGAACATGGCATAAAACAGTGAACGGGACAAGGTCCGTTCCCCAAAAAGCTGTAGTCCATTATTATTTGTATTATGGTGGTGCCTACAGACCCCAGGCAAACTCAGTCCCCTTGTGCTAGGCACAGTGCAAATACACTGAGAAACAAACCATGTACCCAGCCAACGTCCTGGTCACTGGACCACCCTGCCTATCTACCCAGCAACAGATTCCAGTAATAGTGCCAGGGAGGATTATGATAACTAAACACCAGTAACAATACTTTCCATGGCACTTTTCATCCATAGATCTCAAAGAGCTTCACAAAGAAGGATCATTGTCCAGATGGGGAACTGAAAGCACATATTTCAGAGCTTATGCTCTAATAAATTTGTTAGTCTCTAAGGTGCCACAAGTACTCCTGTTCTTCTGAAAGCACATAGCTGCACTGGAATATGTTTGCTAAAATGTCCCACCATCTCAGCTCCACTGTGTATGCAGAGCTCCAGGTGGCAGCTGGTGTTCGAAGCACCAGGTCATCTATCCTCGCTCAGAGCAGGAGAACATGACATGGTTAAAATGCCAGTGGGCACCATCTATGCTAGCTCTCCTACAGTAAAGTGGAGCGGAGACAGTGGGGAATCACAGCAAATATCCTAGTACAGACAGGACCCAGAGAGGTTAACCTGTGATTTTTTCCCAGGCTCCCATAGACAAGAATGGGAACAAACTCCTGATTCTCAATTTGATCAATATAAAATTAAGTGGTGTTGGGGGGGGGGGTAAGGAGGGGTTAGTACTGCCAGCCTTAGAAGAGGCCGGTGAGAAACTTTACAGTATGAATTGAGTATGTGATCTGGGTGGTCCGCTTCATGGTAACCTCTTGGATACAGTTGTGAGAAAACCCCACTGTGCCCAATCCTGCTTTGGTCTCTGCTAATCAGTGTCCCTGTGCATTGACTGTTCTGCCTGCCATAATAAATCAGGCAGAAATTGAAAAGTGGGGGAAATAGAAACCAAAGAGGTAATTCAATTTATAACAAGGTTGTTCCCTGTTTGGTTTGGTCACACTACACAGCCATGTAGAAGTCCCAGATCAACACACAGCTTTAGAATCTCAGGGTCTGGGGCCAGCAATAGCTGGACAGAAGCCAGGGCAGGCAATGCTGACAACGTCTGCACAAGGAAGCCGGGAACAGTTCCACAGAGAAAGATACTGTAGAGCTTCCATTCAGTTAAAGATATCGCCATGCGTGAGTGGAGGAGGATGGTGAGTCTGGGATACGGAGGGAATGAATAGGGCTGTACAGACACTATTCAACATCACCACAGAGATCATGAGGATGAAGGTACCTTTGTGAAATAACAGCAAGTGTAGAGGCAAGGAGGAAAGAATCACTGGAGGCTAGAGACAGCTGAAAGTGGGTGGCAAGGGGATTGCTCAGACAGAGACAGTTTGGTAAAGGCTGCATTGGTGTACCACATGCAAAGTAGAGAAGGCAATTTCTTCACTGCCTACCCTGAGATGCCTCAACGGAATAATGTATCTAGAAACTTTGAGAAATGTCCCCTATGATAATATTACATAATTCCTGAGCTCAGCTGACAAAGCTAAGTCGATTGGGCAATACAGCTGGCTCCGAGACTGATTTTCACACCTTTCTTCTGCAAATGTATAACCATTAGAGACGAGCTCCAGCAGCAACATTTGAATCTGGACTTTGAAAGCTCTACATTTCAAAGGTATTCAGATCAGGAGTTTGGTTTAGTCCATTTAAAGAGAGAATCCATTTGCAAAATTTGGATCTGGCTCCAAGTTTACATTTTTAAAACCTCCAACATTTAGGGGTGCTCAAATCTGGGGATTTGGCACGTGCTCGTTGCTACATTACTATTATTTCAACACCAAGAAGAGTGCTAGGAATGTTACAGAACAAATAGAAAGACATGGTCTACACCCCAAGGAGTTTACACCCTAAGGCCCTGATCCTGCAATCGGATCTGCTAGTGCAGAAAGGTGGGCTCTGCTCCACCCAAGTCGGGGATGGGGGAAGAGGGGTCTGTGAGAGTAGATCTGAGGGTGGGATCAGGAGCTAGCGTTAATGATGTGACAAGCAGGGAAGGGATGGCGTGGGGAAGGATAAGGATTACAGTAAGAGGATCACATGGTGATTTAGGGTAGATGTTTGCATATCTTGAGGCTACAATTTAAAGTAGTTTATTAATAATAATACTATTATTATCATTATGCTTATTATCTAGCTCACTTCTTGGGGGTGTATAACACTCCTTGTATTAGGTGACATGTATGTACAAGCACTGTGCATAGGGCTGGAGTTTCTGGACCATGCCCATGAAATACTCTGCCTTAAAATGGCATTGCCAGGAGAGAAAAAGCTCTTGCAACAACCTTCCCCCTCTAGCTCAGCACCTCGGCGCTGGTCTGTAAACACCCACTAAGCGCAGCTCCTGCTTTGTCTCCGGACCAGCCTCTCAACCTGCCCGGTGTATAAGGGAGAACTTGGCAATGGCCGGGCTAGTACGGTGGCGTCTGCTCCCAGCCCCCTGCAGCGCGCCCACGTGGGAGACTCGCCGCCAAAGAAGAACGAGCCCAAAGGACAGTGGCTACGTTCTGAGCCCGCCCCTTTAGGGGCGCGGCCTGGGAGAGCCCCGCCCCTCCGAGAAAGCCTGGCATAGGAGTTTGGCCTGGGGGCGTGGGGAGAGGAGTTTTTAAATTGCTGCTGCCGCTGAGTTGCGGGCGGACTGGAGCAGTCGCTGCAGAGAGCCAGGCAGAGCACCAGGCGGTGACACCTGCCAGGGATTAGCGAGGCAGCTGATCTAGAAGTCACCCGGAGCGGCATTGGCAGAGTCGTTTCAGTCCAGCTGTGTGCAGCCAGCGTTGCCTTGAGCCGAGTAAGGGGTTGGTAAGATGCTGAAGAGCTGCGGAAGGAAACTGCTCTTGTTCCTGGTCGGGTGCATGTTCACCTGCCTCTTGGTCCTGATGGCGGATCAGCAGAAGCGGCAGGTGGAGGACCTGGGAGGAGAAGGGGGCCGGCGAGCTTTGCAGAGCTTGGCGAGCCCGGGCGAGCCGGAGGGCTTGCCCCGCCAGCCGCAGCTGCAGGAGGACGAGCCCGGCTTGGCCCCGCGAGAAGTGAAGAGCTTCACCGATTACTTCAGCAAACTGAGCCGGGGCAGGCGGGAGGCGCAGGACGCCGGCAGCCTGGCCCCGCGCCGGGAGGGGACCCCGAGGCCGGCCCTGGAGGACATCACCGCCCAGGATGTCTTCATCGCGGTGAAGACCACCAAGAAGTTCCACAAGGCCAGGCTGGAGCTGCTGCTGGACACCTGGATCTCCCGGAACAGAGACTTGGTGAGTGGTGGGGCCGGGGCCAGTGGGGCGCGGGGGGGGTTTGCAGCCTGCCTGCGGCCGGGGCTTGCGCTCCAGCCTTCGGGAGCAGCAAGGAGCCGTGCCAGGCCGCGCTGGGAAGCACTAATGATCTGGCTAGTGCCTGCACGCCCAAGCGCCTCCAAGCAGAGCCTCCCGCCCTTGGCCCGGGGAAGGGAAATTGAGGCACATTCCAGCAATGCCCCACCCCCCTCTCCCTCCATTGCTATTGACCTCTATTGACAAACCTGGAGCGGGGGCTTTGGGAGGATCATCTCTCTTCTCCCCCGCCCCCCCCCCAGCCTGGGCTGCCAGGGAGTTAACGTGAAGCAGAAGTTTCACCTCTTTTCAGCAGGGGCCCTCTGCTTCCCCCAGCTGGAGGATTCAGGTGCATCCTGATGGATTCAGTGTCCCTGCACAGCTGACAGGCACAATCGGCTCTGAAACGCCTTCCTACCTTGGGCCTGGGCCCTACACACTCCGGAGCCTTTGGGTTAAAGTGCCGCTCTGGTCTCTCAGCAGCGGGGATCTTTAACGAGACCCTGTGTTCAGTGCTCAGGTGCCTGTTTATTCCTCCTCCTCTCGCTGGCTCTGCCCGCCACCCCCAGGAGACTGGGGAGGAGCATGAAATGCAATTTGTGTCGCTGGCCTGGGACTTGTCAGATGTAAAACAGGGGCTGAAGTCCAGAGCTCTTTAGCATAAAGAAAAGGGGAGGGGACTGAGAGTTCTCAGGGTTGTTTAGAGACTGCGGGGGGGGGGACCCCGCAAGCATCAAACCCCTTTTCTTCGCCATGTCTAGGCTGTCAGCTCACTATTTAAAGAAGGAATTAAGCAGCATTTTCAGAGAAGTGTCACTTGCATTAAAAGCCTGTTCACAAGGATATCTCAGCAACTCCTGCATGGCGGGGAAGTAGCATTTCTGTTTCAGAGGGCACCATCTGGCCCATACCTCAATATAGAGCCTAAGCAGTAATAATAACCCCTTATAGCACCTTTTCACCAGTGGATCTCAAAGCACTTTACCAGGGTGACTAACATTATCCCAGTTTTGCAGATAGGGAAAGTAACACACAAAGTTGCAATAGCAGAGCCAGGAATAGAACCCAGCATCTGTAGACTGTAGCACCTTGGCTCTGATGCCTAAGGAGATGTCTTTCCTCTTGTGGTATCCTCTCAGAAGCCAGGCATGTACTTAGATACTTCAGTGCGAGGCCAAGTCTGAATTACGAGGACATTTGCAGGGTACTGGGTAGATTTCTGGTACCCAGATACTGCAGCGGTGGGTGTGCTCAAAATGCACAGACAGAGGGAGAGACCAGCTGACCCCAGGTTCTGGTGCTGAGAGCGCTATGGAATACAGTCCGTTTGGGTGGGAATTTTGGTAACCAGAAATACTGTGGGATTTCATAGAGTTTAAGGCCAGAAGAGACCATTATTATTTAGTCTGGCCACCAGTACATACTTTGGCTGAGAGAATTCACCACCACCCTGATCTGTTCTCCCTCTCCCCCCAAGCCTCCTGTATTCGTGACCAATTGTCTCTCACTCTCCACCAGTGTCTTATCCATTATTCTAGTACTTTATTTAAAAAAAAAAAGTAAAATCCACTTGTTTCCTTAGGAAACTTGCTTTTGCCATTTGCTCTCCTTACTCTGGAATTATTTTGATCATCACACAGTTTCCCAAGCAGATTATGCCTGTTCTTAACTGAATGAGACTTTCCCATTTTCTCTCCCCAATTCATCCCCTTCCATCTTCATCCATTTCCTTACGGGCTCTCTCTGGGCCTGCCATGCGGTGAGGTGGGCTCATGTTTCTCACTCAGGAATAATTTGCAGCAGATTTACGGCATCACTTCCATTGGACACTTCAGTCACACATTGCTGCTGACAAGCTGTAAGGTCACTGTGAATGCCACTGGCTTCTATGGGAGTGGACCTGCTCCTTTACTCAGGAGATCTCAACGGCCTGGCAGTGGCTCTGCCGTTTCTCCCTGCCATGGTTAGTTAGTGGAAACTCTTAGCTGCTCTTTTATGTTCTGCAGCCTCTGAGAAGGGGGTGGGCTGGAGGTGGATAAATGCCCTGAGCACCTACAGATGATCCTGGGAACGGCTGTTCTCTTTTTCTCATGGACTCTGGCTTTCTTCTGGGTTTTTGTTTTGTTTCGTTTGTCCGTTTGGATTCCCAGAGTCCTGAGTCTCAGCTCTCACGCTGTCCCCCTGGGCAAGCTAACAAAGCCTCTTTTCTCCCAAGCGCAGAGAAAAGGCTTCACAGTCTCTTGTGTGGTGCTTTCCATGGGAACCAGAGAGCTGGAGCTTGCAGTGTCCAGGTCAGGTTGCCTAGAGATGAGGGCCAGGAAGCCAGGGGGGCTGCAGCTCAGAGAGGTGCCCCACTGACAAGCTGCTGAGTGATGTTCTTGTACAGCACTTGAGGGACAAGCATTGGAGAGAGAGAGAGTTGAAGTTACTGAAAACTCCTGCAGGAGGAAGGACAGCGAGCTGGTGAGGGGTGGTGGGAATGTGTCCCCGTCTTTCCTCACTGGCCTAGCTGCTGTAACAAGGAAACTGACCCTCCATCTCAACGGGCCTGACAGCTTTTGTTGCCCCTTCCAGAGAGGCCGCAGGGAAGCGAATCTGTCTCTTGCCTGCACAGTTTCCTCTCCTACCAAGAAGCCCTGTAACAGCAACTTCGGGGCACCCTGGCTTCCCCAACCGTTAGTTCCTCTTTTGCTTTCGCTTATGGTCTATCTATGCACCTTAGAGTGTAGTGTGCGGGAGGGGGGGGGGGGCGCTAGAGGTGTGGGTGGTATAGTGGTGAGTTCCTGCCCTCGGGCTCTGCACTTTTGCTGGACGCTTCTCCTTAGGAGAGAGCTGGCTGAAGCTCAGTGCTTCATACGAACAATGCTCTGGATTAGTAAAGGGGGGTTTTCGGCTGAGGAGTTGCCTGTGCTAAAAGTATGGCTCTCAGTCTGAGTCAGGCCTCCCTTCTCTGGGTCCTGGACCAGCTCTCCCTTTTGTTTTGCCAACAGCCTCTCAGCGTTCATGCTACTCTGCACCCTGGCTGCAGGGCGGGAGTGGAAATTCTTAGGGACTCGCCCAGAATCCCCTTTGGCTAATAAACACATCTAGTTCTGCCAAAGCAGAGAACAACCCTCCCTGTCCGTCCGTCCGTCCATCCCCCTTTCCCCTTCTGAATCAAAATCTGAACCTTCCCCTTTGTAATTACACTCAGGGCCATGTCTGTTTTTAAATGAACGGCTAAAGGGTTAAGTAAAATAGGGGAGAAGGGGTTAAAGCTGCCAGGTGGTTCCAGTTTGGAGAGATGATAGGAAGGGGGAATTGCTATTGTGTTGTCTTCTTGGATACTCTTTGTTCAATATACAATAGCCTCAGTTTCCTGTGTTCTGTCTGATCCAAGATATTGCAATGATATCATGTGGTAGGGGACCCCCCCTTCCTCCTTTTATCTGAGCAGTGGATAGGCCTTGGCTTCACCCCGCTCCCCAGTCCTGCACCTAGTCCCCTGCTTCAAATGTACTAGCCCAGACAGGCTGTTTTTTGGAGAGAGGTTGTTCCTCCCCGCCAGCATCTTTTGAAGAGAGTTTGCAGCTGTGGCTGACTCAGCACTTGAATACTTTACATGCAGCAGAGTGGTCTGGGGAGTGTTTG